CAGAACAGGTGAGAAGGGGACCATTTGCTGTTAGCTAACCAAACTATTACACTTGAGTAAAACAAGGCAAGAAAGTACAATTAAATAAATCCAAAAATGTAAAGTAAATCCTACAATCACAAAGTGTTTAAGCAATAATAACCTCTGCAAGACATAAGTAACATAACATCTAGAGCTAGATTTTAATGCAAATTAAACCCATGAGAACTAAAGACTTGTAATAAAAGTGTAAGCTACAATAATTTGATTCCAGCTGAGGCTTTTCCAAGAGGAAAAAACCCAACAAAATAACAAAAGCCCAGAATACACAACACTAGCAAATATTAAAACTTGTATTACAATAGCAGCAGTTCAAAATGCAATCAAACAACTGTAAAAAGTATATTTCAATCTGTCAAAATAGAGAAAAGAAAAATAATTACTGTGTTAACCATTAAATATACAAGATATAGTGTCTGATCCCTTTCACTGTATTGCAATTTTAATAATGTAAAAAGAAAGTAATTTACAATAATCTTCCAATTTTCTATTCACAATAAGTGTTTGTCTTTAAATGACATAGCTCCTATTTATTTCTTGAAGAGGCATTAACATTTTCTGAAGTCCCTCGGCTACTTTTAATAGGTCAACCAATTTGCTTCACTAAAAACAACGTTCAAAGCTTTGCCACCTTCCCCCTTTTAGTAATGAGAGTGGAGGAAAGAGCACAAGGTAAATCAATATTGGGGTACATGTGGGTACACGAGGCTTTCTCAGCCTCCCCTGTCCTCCTGTAAAAGCCCGCTGAAAGAAGGATGCTCTCCGGGAAGAGCCTCCCACCACCCCTCTCATTTCCCATTTGCCAATCGATGGCAAACCACCACACAGAGCAGAGGGCAAGCTTGACTTACACAGAATGAACTGTGGAGATGAACTGCCACACTAGCTTAATGGAGTCTCCCGAGGCACCAAGGACTTGATGCCCACGTGCTCGGCACTGTTGGAATCTAGAGGGAAGGCAAAGGCAACACTAACAGCTTATAGCTGCAGGATCTGCCGTGATGAAACAATATTACAACTGACTAAAAATTACAGAGGAGCAGCACAAGGACCTGCTTCCACAGCAGAGGTGGGAGTTCAGTAACAGTTGCATTTTGCTAGGATTCAATTTTTTAATCCAATCTACTCCTGTCAAAACCCAAAGCCATCATCGGGTAGGGAGCATGGTGAGAGAGAAATACGTATTCCTTGCATAGTGCTGGAATTTGCTGTTTTCTAACCCATCCAGCCAAAGGCCAGTGGTGTGTTGGCCAAACCAAAGGGACAAAGATGATACTGTTTCCATTTCTACTTCTTGGTTGCACCTCTTCAAGGAAAGATTCAGAAAATTTGTAAACCATTTGTAGATCGCTGACACTCCTTAGTGTCTCACAGCTGATGGCAGCAAATACAGCACAGAAGCAAAGCATGAATGTCTTACCCATATTCACAAAGAAAAAAAAGGACATTGTCTTTCACTCACACCCATGAAACTTGGTTTGTGCCCTGCCCTGAGATAAAACAGAGCTTCATCTAGCTATCACCTGTTCAGAAAGAAATAATAATAATAAAAAAGACTATGGATTGGTTAAAAGTCAAGGTCCAAATGGGCAGGACACTAAGACAAAAGAAGGGGATGAGGCTGAGGTGCTGGCTGTACTAAACAAAAGACACACCAATCACAGAACGGCAGTGGTTAGATTTGCGAGCTAAGATTTATTTATTTTTATTTTTCACGTTGTCTGGGTCATCTGTGGAATGGTTCACTTGTCTCTTGAAAAGCAAACCTGAGCTGCAAAACACATGGGAATTGCCATGTGCACAGGACAAATGCTATTGAAGGAGACAACTCAAGTGAATTTGTTCTTTTCACTGAGCCTCTTTGTAATACGTTGTGGGCTTGTTCTAATGCAGGGTGGAGATACTGGAGATGACTGAAGTCACTTACCACCTTAGATTGTCCTTAAGTACCTGATATCTCTGAAACCACACATTTCTAGAACTTACTCACATATTAGGCTTTTAAAAGAAATTGTTTTATCCCAATCAGATCAGTTGACTTCCTTTTAGACATGAAACTGTGCTCTTTGAGACATATGTCACCAGTGATGATATACAGGCCTCAGAAGTTTCTCACCCATCTGTAAAATCATTACTCCAGGATATTTTCACCCATCAATATGCTGCCTCCTCAGGGGATTTCCTTGCCTTGGAACAGCAGGCAAACTTTGATTTTTGACACTTTGCACTGAGTGTGTGAGGGAAAGAACATATGATAATAACAAAAAAGCATAGTATTACACCCAATTTCCTCCTCAATTAATAAAGCAATATCTCAGCGTCTCCTATGCAGTCCTAGGGGTACCCAATGTACAGCTCCATGATCAGTGGCAACAGAAAAGGCCTTGTGAGTAATAATTAATTAGTCAAAGAAAAAAATCTTTGAACCTCCCACCCAAAGACTTTTCCATTCACACAGTTGTTTGTTTGTTTGTTTGTTTGTTTGTTTTTTAGTGTAGGCAATATAAAGATTTACAAACAGTCCCCAGACTTACCTTCCATTGTTTATCTGAGACCTACAGGACTAGAGTAGGAACTTTTCTGAATAACATTTGAGTTTTTTGGTAGACACAGGGCAGTTTTCACACCTTCTGAAGGCAGAGAAGCAAGTGAGTGGTAACCACTAAAACCCATTTCTCATGTGAACGATGCACCACCCCTGTGCAAGAGCTGACCACACTCTTCTGTGCTCCTCCTGCCCTGCTCCTCCCAGCCTCCAGCCTTCTTCCAGCCCTCCTGCTTCTTTCATCTCCCGGCTCTTCCTGCCGCATTGGGTATCTGCCTGAATGCACAACCATCTTTCAAGCAGCCAGAGGATAACAAATAAGAACATTAAGCCGTGAAATCCGTGTCATTGTTTACAGAGGACAGCTTTCTATGAAATACAGCAGTGACTAAATGAGCCAAAAACCCATATCTATCAACTACTTTGAAACACGAATCATTTGTAAACAACATGTCTCATCTCTCCCTGAGCCTGGAAGAAAAACAGTATTTTCAGTCTCTCACCCTCAGGAGAGAAATGAGAAAAGGCAGACATATTTAAAGGTTTCAGTTTGAAAAATATGCTTGACTGAAAAACACTTTTGTTCACTGCTTGAAGGTTCAAATGAAATAAAGCCAAGTTTTAAAACTCTTCCCTAAAACTAACATCCAAATGCCACAGATCCTTCCCGTTCATAAAGCTCATCCTTGTAATTTAAAATGATTGCCACAGGAGCAACATTCTTATCTGCCCTATGATACCTGACAGCTGGAAACTGCACCAAAGATCTGCCACCATCCTGACTTCATCTGTTACGGCTTTGAAAAGATAGATAACACTGTGGAACTCCTGCACACTCCAATTAATTCTTTCACTACCAGCTCGTCTGACTTGGCCTTTTTTGTTGTTGTTGTTATGGGGATGAAGACAAGATACATTTTACAGGTGGTCAAAATCCAGACTGGAGAAAGAACTAGTTAACCCTCCCACTTCAACTGGCACCAAAGCCTGCAGAACAGGGAGACTTAACCCAATCCATCAGCCAGTCTAGGCTGACACAGATGGTTGACCCAGTAGTGAAGGGACATCCCCTGGGATACCCTAAAGGCCACAAATGCTTTTAAAGTGTCTCCCCCTAAAGTGTCACAGTTATACAAAGTGCTACACGGGGGTTAGAAAGGATGTCATCTTGCACCTCAGTGTGGCCGACACATCCAGAGCCATGTGATGTGCAGCTAAGAAGTGCTGCTGTTCAGCAACAGTCACACCCACCCTTTGCCAAAGCATTTACTGTTCTTTGGGTAGCTGCAGTATTCTGACATGTAAATACCCAGAATATTTGCAGAAGAATGTCAAATAAAGGCGTCCCCACGAGGGAGAAGCCAGGCTCTCAACTTGCATTGCGAAGGCCTTTCAGTCTCTTCGAATAGAAAGGGCTAGAATGGAGGGGAACAGGTAAAAAAAAGGTTACTCCACCCAAAACATACTAATCACAGTTGAGAAGATTGGGAATCATGAGTGGCTGACTTTGCTTTGGGAATTCAGGGCAAAGAATCTGAGAAACAGACCATTAGCTATGAGTGCCACAAGGATTTCTTTTTTCCTGTCAAATCTATTCCTTTTATCCAACAGTCCTAAATCAGCCACTTAAGTCAGCATTTTCCTGAGGTAAAGACTACTGTAGTTTTGTCTTATGTACAGTTGGTTTGCAAGATGAAAAGCATTTTTTTTAAGAAACATAGCAAAACCAGTAAAAGAAAACTACTTTGAGAGGCTATCCAGTAGCACTTTGCTTCACTCTTACAGCACAAACAGTGCCAAGCAAACTGGTCTCTGCAGTGATGTGAAAGGAAAACAAGGAATGAGATGATTTATGGAAATGCACACTTGAGTGCTGACCATTTCTCAGACCATTTACTGAGCTGGTTTTGAGTGGCTATTCAGGACAATAAGAAGTTTGTAGTGTAGATGATCAAATCATACAAACAAACTGCTTTCCAGTAAAGACCTTGCAAGGAGGGTACTGGAAAATTAACTATTGAAGAAAAGCTTTCCTGCTCCAAGCCTGGTGTACTATTGCTTTTTCTATCAAAGTTACCACAGAAAGATTAAAACTATTCAAGCTGTCAGTAATTACAGTGTTTGTGATAGCTTAAAAAAAGAAATTACCCAGAAATCAGCAAATTCTCTATTTGGAAAAACCTTCAAGCCTGGATGATTTTCCTAGTTAGCTCACAAAGAAAACATTATGTGTCCAGGATGGATTCACACTCACACGAAAACACAGAAGGAGCAAATGATTTCTATTCTGATCTCACAAAAGTGTGTCCTAACACAAGCAACAAATTCAGAGAATATTCTGAATTCCATATCACATCAGGAACACTAGGCATATCACAACTAGGGAAAAGGAGAAAGTCGACTCAAAATAATCTAGAAATCTTTAAAATATACATGTTTATTTAGCTGCAATATTTAAAAGTACAATATAAAGGTATAAAACATAGAAATTCCATAACTAATTCACATGCTAAAAGGATTAATTGACCAGTTGTAAGAAGACTTCATGGAATTCATGGACATTTTAGCCACAAGGCTTATTTCATCAAGTTTCAGACTTGAAATATTGAACAACCATTGCAGAGAACTTGCTCTCCCACATCAGCATAACTAGGGAAAAAAAAACCAAAAAGAAGACCAGAAGAAACAAAGTCAGTGTGTGTGCCAACTGTTTCTGGAACATAGCAATAAATGCCATCCTATTCCCTTATCAACTGCAACCACGGGACTCCCACACAGCACACTCAGTATTTCTTTATATCACAGAACTGTTAACAATGAGGGCAAAAACTTAGGATTATTCCTTGGGAGTGCAGTCATTCATCACTGACCAGCACACTACATCGCTGGTGGGAAAGCAAGAGGAATTTTTGCCTCCTACAACATTTAAATAAGAAGCTAAACTAGACTTGCACTAAGGCTGATAACACTGCTTCACACAGGCATTCTGGTTGGCGTGTTTCAGACGGTTTTTGCTGCTGCTAAAGTTTAAGAAGAGTTTAAGTCCTTTACGTGGATGAGCTAGATATCTGTTGGGTCCCATTTTTAGGGCATACATAATTGAAATAATAAGCTTAGAAACTCGAAAGGCACTTACTCAATAGTGGAGCACAAAGAGCAGGTAACCCTGTTACAGCAGCTGCAGAGCCTGCTGCAGCTCTGGCAGACAAACCGGTCACACTGCGTGCACGCCTCCTTGACATCAGTGGTTCTTACACACGACGAGCAGGCTCTGGAAGCTCCCACGGTTGGAACTGCTTGGAAAAGACACGATTAAGAAGTGACAGTACTTCACAGCAAGACAGAGAAAGCACCTGGAAGTCCCAAGGGCTGCGGAGTCTCCGCTCCCAGCTACAGGTGGCAGCACTTTGCAGAACACGCGGGCAGGCACCGGCACAGCGAGCGCTGCTTGGAACTTTCTTGGTTCCTTCTCTGCTCAATGGCAAGTCACTAAAGGATTCTAACACAGACCATACACGTGATAGCTCCCAAATCCGTCAGCGAAGCTCAAATCTAACAATTCCTTTGAGGAAAGTCAATAAAGAAGAACTATGCAGGCTATAACCACTCATTGCAGTCTACAGCCTCCTAGAGAGGGGAGCAGGAAGCTCTGCCAGGGGAAGTTTAGGTTGGATATCGGGAAGAGGTTCTTAACCCAGAGGGTGGTCAGCCACTAGAACAGGCTTCCCAAGGAAATGGTCACAGTATCAAGCCTGACAGAGTTCAAGAAGAGTTTGGACAATGCTCTCAGGCACATGGCGGGATTCTTGGGGGTGTCCTGTGCAGGGCAGGACCTGGACTTCACTGATCCTTGTGGGTCCCTCCCAGCTCAATATATTCGGCGGTTCTGTGACCTTCCCCGGGCCCGGCGGGCACTTACCCCTCTCCGCGGGCCGCCGCAGCAGTTTCCCGTCGTGGCCGATGAGGAGCTGCCCGTTCCAGCGGGGCCCCCCTCCCTGCGCATCCCCGGGCGGCTGCGGCTCCGCCGGGCGGGCGGCGGCGGGACCGGCGCCTTCCATGTACGTCTGGGCCCCTCTGAAGAGCAGCCGCCGCGTCCTCTCTGCCAGCGGGAGAGGAGCAGAGCAGAGTTAGGGTCGGCCTCCCCATCGCATCCCTCCGGCGCTCCCCGCCATCCGCCCGTCCCGCCGGCTCACCGAACACCTCCCGCCGGTACTCCTCGCCCCGCACGCCGCGGCTCAGCTCCCGCAGCCCCACGCGGGTCTTCAGCTGGAGCGGGGCCGCCTCCCCGAAGGGGCAGGAGCGTTTCGGCATGGCCGGGCCGGCCCCGTTCCGCCTCCACCGCGTCACCGCCGCGCCGGGCCCGGGCCGAGCATCCCCGGCCGGGCACTTCGGGAGCCGCGGTAGCGCTCGGTTCTTCCTGCAGGGAAGGGAAGGTTTCGTCCGCCGGGATGATGTCGCTTCCCGCCGCGTCCCGAGCGCCCGGCGCTGCCCGCCCGGGTTGGCGGAGCCGCCCGCCCCGCCCCGCCCGCGGCCACCGCCCCGCAGGCGTCACCTCCCTGCGCCCGCACCGAGGGGACCCGGCGGGGCACAGCGAAACCAGCTTTGCAGCTCGGGTTTGTCCGTAAACACGGAATCACAGAATCGGAGGATATTCTGAGTTGGAAGGGATCCTCCAGAATGACCCAGTCCAGCTCCTAGCTCTGCGCAGGACACCCCAAGAGTCAAGCCATGTGTCTGAGAGCATTGCCCAAACGCTGCTTGAACTCTGTCGGGCTTGGTGCTGTGACCACTGCCCTGGGGAGCCTGTTCCAGTGCCCAGCCACCGTCTGGGTGAGGAACCTTTTCCTAATGTCCAACCTAAACTTCTCCTGACACAACTTCAGGCCGTTCCCTCGGGTCCTGTCACTGGACACAACAGAGAAGAGATCCGTGCCTGCCCCTGCTCTTTCCCTATCGAGGGAGGTGTAACTGCCATGAGGTCTCCTCGCAGTCTCCGCTTCTCCAGGCTGAACAGACCAAGCGACCTCCTCTGCTCCTCATACACCTTCCCCTCAAGGCCATTCACCATCTCATTTGGACACTCTCTGATAGCTTAATATCGTTCTTATATTTGTTATGCCCCAAAATGCACACAATATTCAAGGTGAGGCCGCCCCAGTGCAGAGCAGAGCGGGACAGTCCCCTCCCTCGCCCGGCTGGTGATGCTTTGCCTGATGCCCCCAGGACACGGTTGGCCCTCCTGACCTGCCAGGGCACTGCTGACTCATGTTCAGGTTGCCACCGACCAGGACCCCCAGGTCCCTTTCCTCATCTATCCTTACATCCAGGGTTGCCCTGTCCCTGGTGCAGAATCCAGCACATCCCCTTGTTAAACTTCATACGCTTGGTGATTTCCCAGGCCTCTAATTCCTCGAGGTCTCTCTGCAGGGCCTCTCTGCCCTCGAGGAAGTCGACAGCTCCTCCCAATTTTGTATCATCTGCAAACTTACTTAGTATCCCTTCAAGTCCTGTGTCCAGTGTCGTTAATGAACCTCTGTGCTTTTGGCCTCGCCTTCCCTCTGCGGGTTATGCTGGGCTCACCAAGCTCTTCCTGCAGCCTCAAACCCTGCCCAGGTTTGGGCGGTTTGAATGCTGTGGGGGAAAAAAAAAAAAAAAAGAAAAAAAAAAAAAAGGCACACAAGCACGAGAATTTTAAAAAAAATTACTTTAAAAAAAATTACTGAGAAGGCTGGAGACACCCTGTTTGGCAGAGGGACTCCAGGGGGCTCAGAGCAGCGCCAAGTGAGTTCACCACTAGCGGGCACAGTGAGTTTTTGGGGTCTGACGGCCACGTTCAGCTAAATCCAGAGTCCTTTGAGACTTTCTGCTGTGGCAGGGAATTATTGCAATTAATTTGCTATTTAAAGGTAAACTCTAAAGGTGTGGTTTCAGGGGTTAAAAGCCTTAGGCACTGTTCCAAGTAGCAGTCAGACTGGTTACTGTGTATATTTTGAAAATACATTGTTTTCCACAGGGTGAACAAGTTTAAAACTGGTGGTGATGTTCTGGTGCAATGTTTTATGTCATTTGGAGAATGTAATCAGTCAGGACAGTTGTGGTTCTTCCAGAGAGGTCTCTGAATTCAAAACTGCCCCTGTATGGACTCTATGACTCTGGACAGAATCACAACAAAATCACAGGAGTGACTTTTCCATGAATGAATTTACAATCTGCTGAGTCCAGAGGACTGGTTTCTTTGTTTTAATCTGGTCAAAACCAAGTTATCACAAACACATGTACATTTCTTCCTGAAAAAAACCCCAACAAATCAAATACCAAAACCCCCAAGCAATAAACACTTCCCCCAAAACAGTGACAGAATCAATATTTTTAAAAGGGTTTTCTTTCATTCAGAAACTCACAGAAGTTTCTGTGTATGATTTCAATACTAGCACAAGATTTAGAATGGCAATCATTTATATGAAAGTGCAACATGTAAGATATACAATATAGATCTATGTGTTGAAAATGGGCCACAATACATAATGGACTAACCCAGGTTTCATTTCTCACATTCTTCCAAAACTGTTGAGGCACCAAGCCCAGTAGTACTGAGCACAGTGTCGAACTACATCTATAGAATCACAGAACATCCTGAGTTGGAAGGGACCCACAAGGATCATTCCTGGCTCTGCACAGGGTAACCCAAAAATCCCACCATGTGCTTGAGAGTATTGTTCAGACACCAAAACGATGCTCTCACCATTTGCTGAACTGCTGTCAGTTTGCAAGTACAACCCCACTGAATTGACAGAGGTTAATGTGTTTGGGTTTGGTTTTTTTGCTTGTTTGTTTTGGTTTGTTTTTGGTTTTGTTTTTCCTGTGGAGTTGATCAACCCATCCCTATGGTCTGTGGATTGGAAGCCATGGTTGTAATTCACAGTAATTCACAAAAATCCCTCCTGAGCTCCAAAGTCTGACTCCTACCATGCTTTCTTTAGCTGTAAAAGTTTCTACTTTGGATTTTTTCTGCACGTATTTGCAAATGTATGCTTAAGGATGTCCGGCAGAAAATTTTTATTGAAAACTCGTGGTCTTTCCTTTCTCTTTAAAAACAAGTTCTCTGTAAATATTTATTAGCTATACACTCTGATGTCCCTGAAGCTCTCTGGGGAGTATGGGTGAATCCGAATGTAATCCCAGTAGGAAGGAGCCCTGTTGAGATAGAGGGCAGCAGATCACACGTTTCATTAATATGGCATAGGTTATGAGTAGATGGAACTTGGCTGTCTGAGAACTGGCTGAACTATGAAGAAAGAGGTAAAAGCACTATTCTGCTTGTGGAGAAGGAGTGCTCTGAAATTCTGATCTCAAATACAAATCAGATTTGAAAGAGAGCAGCTCCTGCTGCAGCAGTGCTGCTGCTGCTGTCACTAAAGGGTAAATTTAAGGGCACTGTCACAGAATCACAGAATATTCTGAGTTAGAAGGGGCTTTCCCTGAGGGCTGATTACATTTGACATGTGCCACCACCGCCCACTGCAGGGCAGATGCAGAGATGTTCTGTTGCAGCTCTCTGAGTCAGCCTTGGCTGGTGACATCTCTTAATTGCTTTGCAAGACTCAACCTCAATAACATCTGCCACTGATAAGCCATCTCCTGTTTGTAAGCTATGAAGGCAAAACAATTCCATCTGCTCTGCACCAGCACACCTGAGCATCCTGCAGGAAGGGAATTGAGTCACCTGCCTGTCTGATGACTTGTTACCCAACAGAATGGTGCTGAGTGTTTTATTAGTTTCAGAGCAGTAACCCTTGAGGAAGGTCCACTGGTGATTTGGAAGTAGCAGAAAGGCTGAGATCTGATCTGGCAAAGTTTGCTGGCCTTGAGCATTCCTGAAAAGTAATGCTCATGATTTTTCAGGTTAATTAATGAGATTCTGAATGTGAAAAAGCAACCCAAACAAATCCCAAGCCACCAAAGGTAATTGTGAAATACAGTGATTTTGGTTTATCCTTAAAAACCTTTCTTGTGAAAAAAGCCCAGAGAATAAAAATTACAGTCTTTTTCTTGTTACTGTGCTTCTCCTGTGCCCATGTGAATACTACAGACAAGTTGCCTGGTTGATAGCTTTGTCACTTAGAGCAAAAAAGGAAAATTGTAATTCATTTTCTTTTTCAATGGTTTCCATTTTCAGTAAGCAAATTTAAGGAGCAAAATGAACCGCTGTTGTTAAGTCTATCTTTCCTATATTCTTTTTCTACCAATGCTTCAAGAAAGTCAGGGCATGCACAGAAGGACTTTGGCCATAATTCATCGCTTCTACATTTTAGAGGTCAGACATTTTCTGAGCCAAAATTTCCATCTTGATCTTAATGTTTAACAGCTGTCAGTAGGCCCACTCTTCAGGCATTTTCCAAGTCCCCTTCTCAAAACCATTAAAATTTTATTTCTTATTTTGTCTAGCAAGGTCTACAACTGAGCAACATATTATTTATGAATATATTATTTTCAAAAACATGTTTAATCAAGTTTGTTTTCAGTTTGCTGCTGTTAATTTCTTTGTTTGTCTCCAGGGTCTAATTTTATAAAAGATGATGAATAACCATGCTCTCCTGACTCTCCAAATAACATCCATGACTATGATGTCTATCATCCTCCTTCATTTGTCCTTCTAGCTGATGTATTTTGTTCACATTGAGGCACTCCTTTGCAGTGTGTCCTGATCCACATCACCTGTGCACAACAGGGAAAGCCAGGGGGGAAGCGGGGGAGCCCTGAGTGCCCCAACAACTTTGTGGCTGAGTGTACCCATCACACCTAAGCCTCAGATGTCCTTCTCCATACCTCTTATAGTCCCTGACACCCTTCCTGAAGCTGACTGGCCAGTGCATCAGCTGCAGGTATGCTTCTCATCTGGACAGAATGATTTTAAAGGTGTTTCCTTCTTGTTCCCTTCCCTAGTAATTCCTGACATACAATTTGCCATTCTGGTTACTACTGAAGTACCAAAGTGATGCTTTCAGGGAAATGCTATTATGCTACACAAATGGGCCACAACATCCCTCCCCTGATTTCTACACAAAAGGTGTAGATTTGGATTTTTAATACTCCAGTAAGCAATTACAGAGTTAAAGATTTTTGTTTGCTTGTTTCTGATCCATCTGATCCATCTGTAAAACAATCATAATTAGAGTTTATCTGTCAATACAACTACTCCAAAATATGATTAGAAATAAACAGGTAGACTGGAATAAAAATCACAATGTAAGTCACAGACATTGCAACTCAATACTGCATGCTTTCTTAAAAGGAAAATAACTTAAAAGCTTGGAACAGAGTAAACTGAGGAAAATTCTGCCTTCTGTTTTAGGTAGGGTCAGAAAAAGTATACAGGATAGCTGATTTGGCTTTGTGAATCTAAATATTCATCAGTCTTACTTCTTCCTCTCCATGCCTTGCTTAGCAAACAATCTTTTTCCATGTACAGTAACAAG